TACTTTAAATGACCAATATCCTGGTAACCATTTAAAAAAAAAAAAAAACACCTCCCATTCTATTTCAAATCCATTACAACATGACATTTACAACATGACATTTACAACATGACATTTAAGAAACCTTTACCTCTAATAACCCCCCCCCCTTTTTTTTTCTTGCCATAAAAATAGATTAACCGGCACTTTAGCAGCCTTTATTATCCCCCCCCCCCAAATTTCATTTTAATCATATTTTAAATCTTANGAGGTAGGGGGGGGGGGGGACAGTTCCGGGATCATCTAAAGTTTTTGCTTCCTGTTTGTACCAGGGGCAGTACTGTTGTTGGACAGTTATCTTTACTTTTTTTTTTCCTTCGTGAGTGAGCTGAAAACCGTACTGGTACAATTTCAAATGACAAAATGACGTGCATATTAAAAAAATAATAATACTTTATTCAGAGCTGTCGTCCACGACCTTTGGAGGCCACCTGCCATTTTTGAAGGCCCCCTGCCATTTTTGGAGGCTTCCTGACACTTTTGGAGGCCCCCCTGCCATTTTTGGAGGCCCCCCCTGCCACTTTTAGAGGCCCCCTGCCACTTTTCAGTTCTGGACCCCCTTCATTCAAAATTGATCCTTTATTAAGTGCTCCTAGTTAATTTTATTTAAAATGTACGATTATTGACTGAGTCATTCAAAGAGGAATGTACGATTATTGACCGAGTCATTCAAAGAGGAATGTACGATTATTGACCGAGTCATTCAAAGAGGAACACTGCGCTGTTTGCGGCTGGCGAGGCTTACATCAAGTTGGTGAAATTTGAAGCTCGTCTCTTAGTTCATGCTCGATGGATATCTTTGATATTTGCGATGGATATCACTGACATTTTCGATGGATATCATTGATATTTGCGATGGATATCACTGACATTTTCGATGGTTATCATTGATATTTGCGATGGATATCACTGGCATTTTCGATGGATATCATTGATATTTGCCTTGGATATCACTGACATTTTCGATGGTTATGATTTGGCATGTTGGAAGGATATCATTAACATTTTCGATGGATATGATTGACATGTTGGGTGAATATCAACGACATACTCGATGTATATGATTGACATGTTGGAAGTTGGATGGATATCATTGATATGTTCGATGGAAATCATTGACATTTCTTCTTCCTCTTCTTCTTTATTTTGACGGGCCCGATCAATGAATTGATCATTCTGGCGATGAATATGATTGACTTGTTCGATGGATATCATTTATATTTTCGATGAATATCATTGACATTTTCGATTGATATCATTGACATTTTCGATTGATATCATTGACATTTTTGATGGATATTAAATGCATGTGCCAGTTACATAGCTTTTAGAGGAGCTGGGGAGAATGGCTGATAGATGAGTGGGGCAACATAGCTGGCAGAAGGGTGAGGCAACATGGTATGTAAAGATTTGTGGCAACATAGGTGGCAGGAGAGTGGGGCACCATATCTGGTAGAAGAGTCAGCAACATAGATGGTAGAAGAGTGGAGGCAACATAGCTGTTGGAAGATTGGTGCAACAATTTTATAAATTAAATTAAAAATAAAACGTAAAAAGTATAATTTTATTGAATTTCTTTAGTTCATCTATTGAACTTTTTGAATCTCGGAGCAGTAAGATATTTTACCAGCTCCAGTTACGGGCAAAAAGACACTGCTCCAGAGCTCCAAGCGCCGTTCCAATTCCTTGCTATTTTTAGGGGCCCAGCGAAAAGTTATAGAATAAGGGGAGGGAAAGAGCACAAGTCGTAACCTTAAATGTTTTCTAAGACGGTAGCACCAAAGGAGGTTTTGACACTTGTGTCATTTACTGAGTTTGTTAATGACATGTTGATGACAGCAGGGATGAATACTGGTAAAATACTGGTACAATAAAAGTAAATTAGTGTCAACTAATTTGGTCAGCGAGTCAAAATTTAAAACAAAAATAGTGTACATTTCTCAGTCGTGATAGTTAACAAGAGTAAAATTGTTTAAAAAAAAAAATCTTTTAGTATTACACAAAAAGAATTTTAACAATTAATTTCTTCTTTCGTATTTTTGCCAGCGTGAATGTTGGAAACGTTAAAACACTACTTGGACCAGTAGAGGTTAGTGGAAATATAATCTTTGTTAATTGTATAATTGTTGTAGTTTGTCTGACCGTTATTAATCAAAAATTAAATGTAAGTTGTGTAGTCAGTTGAGATGTCAGCTGATAATACTGATATGTGAAGAATGCCTTACTACCTGGCACCCGATTTCCTCAGAAACTCGTGGCTTTGCCTTTTTTTCATTTTACTTTTATTTCTTTGAAAAAGTTTATACCCCCCCCCACCCCCCCGCACACAATACTCTACCACCCATGATCCTATGTTTACAGACGCATGTCCTGAATTACGTCATCAAAAGGGGGTTAAACGTCGTTATTGTTCCAAATTTAAACAGTAAGTCAACAAACTGGAGGTGAGGGCTTTAAACAATTTGTTTCTTATGGTGGATACGGAAGTGTGTACTGCAAGTGTGTGACCCAATTATGCAAGGAGTGTACTCCAAGTTTGAGACCCAATTATGCTTGGTGTGTACTGCAAGTGTGAGACCACTTTCTGTGTCATTCTTAAGCTAATTTATCGTTTGTTTTTTTTTTCGTTTTTGAACAGGTTATGTTGTTGTTTTTTTTTGAATATAAATATTGTAACTATTCAAAGCATCAAGGAAATGACGTGCCTTCCTATAAAGTAAGACACAATCCACCACCTTTTTATTTTAAAAATGATAACATTGTAGAAATGTCTATTTAATTTATCTAGAAGTGGCCTATAGCAATGACCCCCAGGTAATAGTGGACAAAACTAGATTTTTTTAAAAATAGATATATTGTCACACATTCCAGATGTGATTGGTCGGGGCGTCCCACTCCCCACTATACCGGGTATCAAGTTCCGGAACGCCAGAGTGAGATTTTTGGACGTAAGTCTATTGTGGGGTGTCTGAGGCTGGTGGATTCCTGCCGTCACGCTCTTTGCTGTGGCTTAGCGTTAGTGGCTCTAGTTATGCACCTGCCCTTGACCATGATCATAATGACAGTACATTTGGTTTGAGGGGTCGACGCGTAAATAACACATAGGCTATAACTTGTTGCCTGTGCTTTATCCACCTCCATCTTTTCCTTTAGGCGTGTTCAGCCTTAGGCCCCTGGTTTTCCCGTCCAATTAGTCTTTGTTGGTGATGGTGTTTGGACAATTGATGTTCAGGATCTTTTTAAGGAAAGTGTTTGTGAAGGTCTGTACGTATCTGCGTGATGGTCGCAGATGGTCTCCAAGTATTGGCTTCATAGAATTTTATGAATAATGTTATGTAACCACTAATTTTGATGTGAAGCGCAGTGAGCCTTGCCCTAGGCTGGGGTACTGCGCTAAATAAGAACATTTAGTAATACCGGTAATAATAATAATAGAATTGTTTTGACATTTTTATTTCAAAATATTTGATTTTTTTCAGTTATTCTCTGTGTTATTAATAGTGGTGTATGCAGATGAAGGCATTGAGTCAAAACGTTCATTTTATGGTCAAGCTGCTGCATGTCCAGTTCATAGTATTTTAGTGAATATTGCTAGCTAAAACTAAAATTATCATAAATTTGACAACATGAAGTATGACAAGAAACTTTTGTATTACACTTGTACAAAAAAAAATTTTCCCCTCTTTTCCAGGGGGTTCTTGTTGTGGGCACTGATGTCCAGTACCAAAATATCTCATAACAATATCAGATGATGTCCAGTACCAAAATATCTCGTAACAATATCAGATGTTGTCCAGTACCAAAATATCTCGTAACAATATCAGATGATGTCCAGTACCAAAATATCTTGTAACAATATCAGATGATGTCCAGTACCAAAATATCTCGTAACAACAATATCAGATGATGTCCAGTACCAAAATATCTCATAACAACAAAACCAGATGATGTCAGTACCAAAATATTCCATAACAACAATATCAGATGATGTCCAGTACCAAAATATCCCATAACATCAAAATCAGATGATGTCCAGTACCAAAATTTTCCGTAACAACAAAATCAGATGATGTCCAGTACCAAAATATCCCATAACAACAATATCAGATGATGTCCAGTACCAAAATATCCCATAACAACAAAATCAGATGATGTCCAGTACCAAAATATCCCGTAACAACAATATCATATGATGTCCAGCTGGCCGGCCACAATATCTCAATACAAAAATATAAACAATGTTGTAGCAAACATTCCAAACACTTAAATAAATCTCTATGCTATAATTGACAATGTTGTGTTACAAAAATTATTGTTTAACTATTGTCTTAAGTATGATCATAACTTTTTTTCTTTATCAAACCTATCAAAGCTGCAGTTGCCTCTCCTGTCCATGCAGGGTTGCCTTTACTATCAAGATGTTTAAAGCATTTATATAATAATTAGAAACCACATTTTCCAGGGGTATACAGGTCATAGTAGTTAAATTCTGACAGTTGTACCGACGATGACGGTTGTTTGGCCACTTCCAGACTGCTCTGCACACTTCCAGACTGCTCTGCACACTTAAGGATTGCTCTGCACACTTCCAGACTGTTCTGCACACTTAAGGATTGCTCTGCACACTTCCAGACTGCTCTGCACACTTAAGGATTGCTCTGCACACTTCCAGACTGCTCTGCACACTTAAGGATTGCTCTGCACACTTCCAGACTGTTCTGCAGACTTAGGGATTGTTCTGCAGACTTAGGGATTGTTCTGCATACTTAGGGATTGTTCTGCACACTTATGGATTGTTCTGCATACTTAGGGATTGTTCTGCACACTTATGGATTGTTCTGCACACTTATGGATTGTTCTGCATACTTAGGGATTGTTCTGCACACTTATGGATTGTTCTGCACACTTAGGGATTGTTCTGCATACTTAGGGATTGTTCTGCACACTTATGGATTGTTCTGCACACTTATGGATTGTTCTGCATACTTAGGGATTGTTCTGCACACTTATGGATTGTTCTGCATACTTAGGGATTGTTCTGCACACTTATGGATTGTTCTGCACACTTTGAGATTGTTCTGCATACTTCCAGATTGTTTGGCCACTTCCAGATAGTTTGGCAACTTCCAGATTGTTCAGCACAATTCTGGATTGTTCAGCGTACTTCCAGATTGTTCAGACCACAGGGAACTGCCAGATTGCTCCATCAGAAATGTATTGATATTAGTATTAGTTTTTTTTAAATCTCTGGTCTTCCATTGGAATTCCATTCAATGATTCAACAAGGGGTTGAGGAGGAGAAAAGGTGTGACAGTTGGAATGTTGTAGTTTTTAAAGATGTAGGTGAATTGGACAGGGGATGATTGGTAGGCTGATTGAAGGACAGGTGAGGATGGTAGCTGGATTGAAGGACAGGTGAGGATGGTGGGCAGATTGAAGGACAGGTGAGGATGTTAGCTGGATTGAAGGACAGGTGAGGATGGTAGGTGCATTGAAGGACAGGTGAGGATGTTAGCTGGATTGAAGGACAGGTGAGGATGGTAGGTGCATTGAAGGACAGGTGAGGATGGTAGCTGGATTGAAGGACAGGTGAGGATGGTAGCTGGGTTGAAGGACAGGGGAGGATGGTAGGTGGATTAGAAGACATTGGAGGATGGTAGATTTGAATTGGAGGACAGATGAGTATGGTGGATGGATTGGAAAACAATGATTACCTGTGTTACCTATGATTTAGTAATAAATAAAAGGATTATTGCTTAGAGCTTGTTCCTTGCTAGTTCGGTTAAGGAAACACCATAAAAAATATACATGGTGATATTCTTATTAAAAATTAATTCAATGACTAACAAAACACAAACAAAGAAGTAGAAAGTCTATATCATTTTAGCCGCTTTAGTGCCAAAAATCTCATACAAATTATTGCAAAAAATTTAAATGTACAAAGTCAAGTATGAAATTTTTTTTACTAATCTTTTATACCTCCCTCCTTTTGTTCCCCTAACAAATGTTGCCATCACAACAATCCAGCCCATCCCTCTATGTGATGTCATAACTTTTCCAGGACTTTAACATTCCGGTACACAAAAACAAATACTGCTATATAGCTGAACGGCAAAGTTCTGAAGCTGTTATAAATAAGACAAAAGACCTCAAATAATCCGTTTGAATAAGCCATGAGTGCTTGGCCAGATTTCCAGAGTCATGACTCAAACATTATCTTTCAAGTTAAACTAAATTTATTTTAGCATTACGAATAGTCTTGGGAACTTTAATGATATAATCAGTCAGTCTACTTTTACCATGACAATTTTTTCAATCTTAATTCATACTACAGTTTGAAGGAAGAGTCCGAACTTTAACTTTAAGGGTACATTTTTTTAGGTGATCAAAAAATTCAATGACATCCAATGGAACTCAAGGGACATTGAGATTCAAATAGTCATAGTTTTGATTACGATGACTTCTCGGTGTCAGTTGTGACACATTCAGGCTGAGTTTCTGCTTGAGTCTCTGAATGCCTGGAGAGCGACACAGGTAGAAAGTCCCCTTGCTCGATATTCCGGGCACATTTATACAGATGCCTAGATAAAACAGAGATCAGAAACTGAAACTAAGATCATTAAAAATAAATAAACAACTGCCTTTTCATTAATGACTTACTCTAAAATTTGAGAGGCCGTAAATAATCAATATTTATTGATAAGCAATAATCAAACTGTAACAGTTTCAAGAACTCACCTGTAAGAATCCCTACCCTAGAACCCCCTTAAATCCTAAGCCAAAATCCACCTCTTAAAATTCCCATAACTCACATGTAAAAATTACTAGAAAACCCCCCCCCCCACATACACACACACTATAACCCAGAACCCACCTTTACAAAATTCCTAGAACCAATATGTGCAAATTCTCAGAATCCATCAGTGAAAATTCCCAGGACCCGCCTGCAATAAAAAATCCCAAGCCAAAATCCCCCTCCTAAAATTCCCACAACCCACATGTAAAAAATACTAAAAAACCCCCCCCCCCCACATACACACACACTATAACCCAGAACCCACCTTTACAAAATTCCTAGAACCAATATGTGCAAATTCTCAGAATCCATCAGTGAAAATTCCCAGGACCCGCCTGCAATAATTCCCTCAACACACCTGCAATAATTCTCACAACCCCAACAAGACCAGAACCCGCTTATAACCATGCCCGGAACCCAACAATATCTCATCGTTCAATCCTGCCGCATCTCACCAATCATAAGTAGTTAGCTTTTGATAAGACACCCACCTTTCAAACTTCCCTTTAGATATAATGATGTGCTGCAACTCCCCAGATGGGAGACACAAGTGGCAGTGTGTGTGCTTCTGTGCTTTGATCTGTTCCACTACTCTGGGCCATGATGCCACTGATCATGAGATAAAAATCATTTTAATGTCAAGTCTCAAGCAAAAAATATATATATTTATATCCCATAGTCACTTTTTAGTGCAGAAAGCAGTGGTTCCCAACCTCTTTGATTCACTGAGCCCTTTTTAGCATCAATTTCTTTTGGATACCCCCTCAGACATACCCTATGACTCCCAACTTAATTGTATTTAGGAATTACCTGGAGCTGCTGGGAGTTAATAATTATCATATTAACAAACAAAGGTGTCCCAAAGAAAGATAAATTCCTAAGATAATTTCAACATTAAAATTTCAAGGTGGAAAAAAATAAAAATAAATGTTTGAAAGCATATTAAAAAAAAAAAGCTAAATTTAAAATATATACCTTCTTGTCTGGTTCCTTTCTTCAGAATAAGATAGGTATACTTTTCAAACCGTTTTTCCTTTTCATTCTTTGAAAATAACAAAAATAAGACAAATGGATAATGGTATTGTTACATTTTTTTTTATTTTAAATAACCCAATCCTTACTAGGGTGCTTGATATTCGCTCCAGTATCGCTAACTGCACTGCTCATAACATGCTGCCATACTGAGGCTCATTGACTGCATACACACAGCCTCTACTACACTTTTAGATTTAACACTTTACCCACAAAGAATAGACTAAGTCCGCTACAACACTTTTAGATTCAACTCTTTTTATTCGCATAGAAATAATGGAGTACACACAGCCCTCTACTACTCTTAGAGTTAACACTTTACCCACAAAGAATACACACACCCCTCTACTACACTCTTAGCTTTAACACTTTTTATCAACACAGCCCTCTGCTACACTTTTAGATTTAACACTTTTTATCCACATAGAAATAATTGAGTACACACAGCCCTCTACTACACTCTTAGATTTAACACATTCTATCTGAAAAAAAACAACTCATACCCACATATTGTTTTTCCCCTGGAATGTTGCACACAATGTTATTAGTATTAGATAGTTAACTCACTTTCTTTGTACACAAAGACAATTTTTATTTCATTTAAGTTCATATGAATACAGGAATCTGTATTACTATAATTAGCTTAATGAACTGATTGAGTATCACTATTTACATATAAGATTGTTAACACTAGATATCAACCGAATTTTGGCTTCGGCTTGCCATTCGATCATTTTTGGCCTAGTTTCGGTTTCGGCCAAAACATAAAGTTAACTTTCGGTTAAATTTTGGTTTCGGCTGAAAGTGGTTGAGGTTTTCAGTCATCTACCAGAAGTCAGACTGTCCATCTGTCTCTAGGCTGGCAATCCAATATATCCATTATTGCTCGACATCTTTCTTTCATCATATGTCATATGACCTATACTCTGCGAAAACTGCTCACAGCTGCATGATGACCTACTTGTCCTTCATTTCAAAAAAGAAATTTCAATTTTGCCTAAGCAAATGTATATAGTTTTTTGGAATAAAAACTAATGGAATGGTAATATTTATATCATTATTTTGGTTTTAGTTTTTACAAAAATAAAATTTGGAGCCCTAGGTTTATTCAATTCCTTCATTTGTGATAGTAGAACCCTCTCAATCCCAAGAACTAAAACTAAGACCATCGGTGAACGCTCCTTCTGCTTCCATGGGCCCACATTCTGGAACCAGCTCCCCTTCCATATACGTCATAGTGAAACCTCGTCCATTTTCAAAAAGTCCCTTAAAACTCATCTGTTTAGGTCCGCCTATGACCTGTGATGCACCCTCCTTGCCCTGCCTCATTTTCTGTTTCGGGTTGATCCTGAAGTGTCAAAGTGTCCTCGTTTTACAGCCATTTTCATTGTTTCTATAGAATAGCAGTTACTATCCTAGTGTCTCATTTGTATTTACTTAGTTTACATGTTTTAATAATTGTAAAGCGCTTAGAGCTTTATGATAAGCGCTATATAAAAATGCCTAAATAAATAAATAAATAAATATTCATTTTGATTTATCATAATTATGCTCATCAATGATGTCATAGGCAAAAGTGAATAATATTGAATGATCCCAGGGAATGGTAATATTTCCATTATATTTGGGGGGTTTTTTGTTGAAAATTAAAATTAAGGAAACTGGCATTTCAATTGATTCATTTCTTGAAATTCATCATTATCATGTTCCTAAATATTGTTATTGAGGAAATAACGCACATGTGTATGTATCACGGGTGCATATAATAATTATGTAACTGCAGACCTGTTTATTTTTATGTCTTTGGCGACCAATTTAAATGTTTTTTGAGATTCTCTGTCGAGACTCGTCAGAACAACAATTTTAAGAGACCGAGTTAAAAATTTATTTTTCCCCTACCAATGGAAAAGGGAGGTCGGTCGCTGAACAAAATAATTACGCCACCAGCATGGAAAGACAAGTGACTAGGCTAAATATTTCTACAGCTATTTCCAGCCAGCTATTTATGAAAATGCAAAGCATTAGTACAGACCTGTTTACCCTCAAACTCTTCAAATCGTACAATATCATCACAAAATCGTTTAAAACATTATCTTAATTGTAAAATATAAACAGTACAGTATAAACATGTATACACCTTAAAATCGTACATTGTACGCCAAAATCGTAAGAGTAAACAGGTCTGTTAGTATGACGATAATCGCAAAATATTGTGGTGATATTTTTAACGCCTTAATAACTGATATTTAGGTGACAATTGGCTTTATTTGAGCCACAATAATTACAATAATTATTGTAGATATGTGTGTCTAGGTAGCTTTCGTATGTATATGATAAAAGCAAAGGGCACTCAAGGGTCTATTTTGCATGAATATCCCACCCCACCATCCAAATTTTCTTTTACCATACTACTTTAAAATACATTTTTAAGAAATTTAAATTAATTTTATATTAAAATGTTAAAAGCCAAAGTATTCAATAGATGTTTATTTATTAATATTCACGATCATCTAATTTTATAAAAAGAATGTAAATATTAGTACTTTCTCCCATCATTTTTCGATGTACGCAGAATATGTGCATGAACGAATTTTGAAAGGTTTAGGGTTAGGGTTAAGTCTCGTTAAGCTTTTGGCTTTGGTTTGGGCCCAAAGTCATTTTTAACTTCCGGTGTAGTTTCGGCAAAAATCAGAAAATCACTTTCGGTCAGTCTCTAGCTACCACATTCATCATCTGAGTCCATACCTGACAAAATTACACTTTATAAAAAATTCATGGATCCCCACACACTTCCTTTAAAAATGTGTGTCGGGGTCCATGATTTTTTGATAAAGTGTGATTAAAGTGTGGTACAGGTATCTAATTTGTTTCACAAAATATGTGTGACGTTCATGATGGCTTCAAAGGCAAATAGTGGACTAAATATTACTGTTGCTACCGTACTACTATTGTGATATCTATCGTGTTCACTTGTGAAAACAAAACAAAATAACAGTAAGACAACAATTACTAAACACTGCATGATATTTTTATAGCATTAGATATATTAATAGGTTACTTATGGAATGTCAGAATTCCAAGATAAATATTGCAGAACTATTATTTTTTTGTCTCAGTAAATGTACATGCTTTCTACCAAGATCCCCCCCACTCCCCAGCAAATGTACACAACATTTCTAATAACCCAGTATTTCCAAATTTGATTAAAAAATTCTTTTATACGTACGGATTTACTTGCAGCAAAGTCTGGCTCATTAACAACACACTTGGTGAGACAAAGTTGATTTATGGCAACTCTAGGGCAGGGCCGGTCATGTGGACACTGAGGATTACAATACCATGCACTTAATCAAATTTCAATGAGATTTATTTAGACTAATTAATAAAAACATCTTAACTCAAGCGACATGACATTGAAATGTTAACTAACATAGAACAGTTTTATGAATTTATTGTAACAAGTTGATTTTCTAGGGTGGTTCTTCCCAACCAGCGTGCTGCCAGATTTCCATTAAAGGAATAAAAACGCAGGAACATAAAAACAGAAAGAGTGACCTCGTCTGCCAAGTGAATGCGACAACTTGAACAACATCCCAAAAAAACTTATTATTACTGTTAGAAGAATCATTGGAGGCTGCTCTTTCCTTACAAACACACCCAAACTGATGCATCACAGGATCCCAGTAACTAAATAAATAATGTTGAAAACTGCAGACACAGGGACAAACCTCAAGCACTGATGAGATTTTTTATGGTGGTGATGTGGAGGAAGGCTTAAAGGCTCAAATGTATAAAATGTTCAGTAAGGAGCATTTCTTATGAAACGGCCCAAGTCTTGACAAGCCTCAATGGGTTTCCTCTGATTGGTCAGCAAGGAATCCCATGACTGCTTGTCTGTTAAATTGCTTTACAAATGGATCAAGGGCAAAAAGATGGCAAAAGGAAACACCTGCAATAACAATTTTTCCTCAACTAACAGTTTAGCTGTTGTGAATGTAGTAATGTTACGTACCGGTGCAAATACGTGACCTTGCTGATCTGGAGTGCTGTTCCAAAGCTGTCAAAATTGATCAAAGTTACAGAGGATTAACCCTTGAAAAAGATTGACGAATAAATAACTCCAATTTTGATTGAATAAAACTAGCTAGAACAGCGATGTTCCAGTTCTTCTGAGCTAAAGGATCTGAATTATAAATGCATTCAATTTCTCCACTGAATCTCATGAAAATGCTTAGTTTATTGTTTTAAAAGTTCACTTAATTGTTTACTTTACTGTTACAAAGAAAATTATTTAATTAAATGGTTTGCGGTGAATGGATGGCTGTGAGGTCAAAAATGAGTAAATTTCAAACACATGGATTGGAGGTCAATCCCCAGCAAAAAAACAAATAACCAAAAACGACACCTGAAAAACTGGGTGGATGGGACTCGTTAACTTTGAATGACAACTCAATCTAAGAGAAGGACAACTCTGAATTAAAATCCGGAGATGAAGTAGAAGGTATTTCATTAATTCCTGTGACGCTCTTGGTGCCAAGCTTCACCATTCACACTTTTTTTTAATGTTCCCTTCCAAGCTGCACCATTCACACTTGATGTTCCCTTCCAAGCTGCACCATTCACACCTGATGTTCCATTCCAAGCTGCACCATTCACACCTGATGTGATGTTCCCTTCCAAGCTGCACCATTCACACTTGATGTTCCCTCCCAAGCTGCACCATTCACACCTGATGTGATGTTCCCTTCCAAGCTGCACCATTCACACTTGATGTTCCCTCCCAAGTTGTACCATTCACACCTGATGTTCCCTCACAAGATGCACCATTCACACCTGATGTTCCCTTCCAAGCTGTACCATTCACACCTGATGTTCCCTTCCAAGCTGTACCATTCAAACCTGATGTTCCCTTCTATTGACCAGATGAGTGGGGATAGGGGCTTTGCTGACCTCATCTTATTCTCCTAACACAAATTCAAGGCACTGTGACCTTAACCTTTTGAAGGCTACACAATGGTCACCTTGTGATGCCAAAACAACAAAAAAAATGGTTTATTAACGTGACTAAATAGGTCAAATAAAAGCTTACTTGGGTCAAGTATTCCCTTGCCTCATTGATCAGCTTAAACCCAGCCCCTGTGCCATTTTCGACCAGAACCTGTTCGTTTGGGTGAAAGACATTTATTAACCATAAAGATAAAACCGCATGCAATTGCTCATGAATCGTGAACAGCATTTGAAACTCTAGACAAACAAACTCCTGCTGTTGTTTATTCTATGTTAGCCATAGATGAAAAACGTGCAGGATTTTAACTCAACGATAGCCATGCATTGACACATGCAGGCTGTTAACTCAATGACAGCCAAACCTTGACACAATCAGGCGTTTGGCAATATCTTTTGCTATGCATTATCTGGTGGCACATCTTTCCATTAATTAAACCTCTGCATACTAATAAAAATTTTAATTCACTAATTAATGAAAGCGAAACCTCTGGATCACTTCAGAGATGAACATTGATATTGAGACACTGACCATTTGTTAAGTAAGAAAAAAAAAAAAATTTTTTTTTATATATATATATATATATATATATATATATATATATATATATATATAAAAAAAAAAAAAAAAATTTTTTTTTATATATATATATATATATATATATATATATATATATATATATATATATAAAAACAAGCAGAATGAGTGGACTATTAAATATATCTGTAGAAAAAACTCCCCGAGTTCTTTTTTATACCATGTAATCTTCTGTCATTTCCCAGAGGTAATATATATATATATATAAAAACAAGCAGAATGAGTGGACTATTAAATATATCTGTAGAAAAAACTCCCCGAGTTCTTTTTTATACCATGTAATCTTCTGTCATTTCCCAGAGGTTTTGAACTAGTGCCAGTCTGTCCTGTTGTGTTGGCTGCTCTATCAACATGTAGGGACTCACCACCAAAGAAAACTTATTCTGGAGAAGAACAGAAATTTATTAAAGAAATTATTTTTCTAACATTTCAACATTAAACCTAAGAAGCCAAGAAAAACTTTAAAATGCTTGAAATAACTCATTTTCAAACAATGTTTCATCTAATGTAGCATTGTTTCAAACATTGTTGTATTGAATATAGCATTGTTTCAAACATTGTTGTATTGAATGTAGCATTGTTTCAAACATTGTTGTATTCAAATCTAGCATTGTTTCAAACATTGATGCATTGAATGTAGCATTGTTTCAAACATTGTTGTATTGAATGTAGCATTGTTTCAAACATTGTTGTATTCACTGTAGCCTTGTTTTAAACATTGTTTCATCCAATGTAGCATTGTTTCAAACATAGTTTCATCCAATGTAGCATTGTTTCAACAAATTTAATGTTTCTTTACTATTATCCATAACAATATACTAGATATTTAGTACTGAAATTTTTGATACATAAGCTGCGGAAAGGTGATCAATTTAAAAAAGACAGTGTTTTGACTAGTAGAAGGTCGTGTTTTGTCTAGTATAGAAGGTCATGTTTTTTCCAGTGGACGTCATGCTTTGTCCAGGAGGTGGTGACTTTTTTTATCCACTTGAGGATGATGGTTTGTCCAGGAAAATGGTGTTAGTTTTTTTTCACTATTTATATATTCCTTCTTTTTTTTCCCGCTACATACATATAAGAATAGAAACTACATAAAACAAGCTATCAAAAAAATATAAGTTATTTATGTCTTAAGTCTAAGAGTCTATCTTTTAAAATGATTTTTGTGATTGCTCTGTTCCAAAATAGAGCAGATTTTTATGTCAGGAAACTGACCTTTGAACTGGGTTCAAACTGTCTAAAATATACGCCTTTTATTGAAGTGCTTTTGACATGTTCATTCGCATCTAGAAAAAACAAAAGACAAATGTGCAAGAAATAAAATACATAAATATCTTCTTAAAAATCCTTGCATTTAATATTTTTATAAAATTAGGTTTTATGATTATAAAATATTGTTAAATTGTATACAAAAATTTAAGTTATGGAATGAGGCTTATTAAACATTTGGTCAGCCCTGTGAAGTAACAAGCCCTTTTAAACATTCCACATTTGGTCAGCCCTGTGAAGTAACAAGCCCTTTTAAACATTCCACACATGGTCAGCCCTGTGAAGTAACAAGCCCTTTTAAACATTCCACATTTGGTCAGCCCTGTGAAGTAACAAGCCCTTTTAAACATTCCACATTTGGTCAGCCCTGTGAAGTAACAAGCCCTTTTAAACATTCCACATTTGGTCAGCCCTGTGAAGTAACAAGCCCTTTTAAACATTCCACATTTGTGACAGTGGGATAAAGCTATCTAGGTTACTCTTCTGGATGAGATCATACAAATATCAAGTCTATGTGGCTCTATGTGCATATTATTTATTAAAACGGGCCCCCTACTTTAAGCTTAAAGACTTCTAACCCAAAATTACAACATTCCTTCATACATTTTGGTTATTAACAAATTGATTTCATACTAATTTGGTAAATTATAGATTTGTTTTTTGTTGACTTTGTACAGCACTTCGAGCCTTTGGGGATGAAGCGTGTTTTTGAAATGAACTTTATTATTATTATTATTATTAATTTCTGGTTAATAGAGTGTTCATGTGACAGCTTACCTTGTAACAAGAGCTGCGCCAGAGTGTTCATGTGTGCTGATGCGTCCACGCAGTAATATTCCCCTATGCCTTTCCACATTGCGTCTGCAGCCCTGCAGATAAATCATTCATAGTCATGCTTGAAGCCCACAGCGTTAAAATTAAAATTTGATTACCAATAACTATCTGAGGAATGTAAACAGAACAATGGGAGAACTGGATAATAACACAGCAAAGGGTCACCATGGACAGGAAAATAGAACAGGTCATCATGATTGGGCATAGGCAACAAGTTACCATGGACAGGCATTAGAAACAGGTCACATTGGACAGGCATTAGAAACAGATAACCATGGACAGGCATTAGAAACAGATAACCATGGACAGGCATTAGAAACAGGTCACCTTGAACAGGCATTAGAAACAGATAACCATGGACAGGCATTAGAAACAGATAACCATGGACACGCATTAGAAACAGATAACTATGGACAGTCATTAGAAACAGATAACCATGGATAGGCATTAGAAACAGGTCACCTTAGACAGGCATTAGAAACAGATCACCTTGGACTGGCATTAGAAACAGATAACCATGGACAGGCATTAGAAACAGATAACCATGGACAGGCATTAGAAACAGGTCACCTTGAACAGGCATTAGAAACAGATAACCATGGACAGTCATTAGAAACAGATAACCATGGACAGGCATTAGAAACAGGTCACCTTGAACAGGCATTAGAAACAGATCACCTTGGACTGGCATTAGAAACAGATCACCATGGACAGGCATTAGAAACAGATAACCATGGACAGGCATTAGAAACAGATAACCATGGACAGGCATTAGGAACAGGTCACCTTGGACAAGCATTAGAAACAGGTCACCTTGGACAGGCATTAGAAACAGATAACCATGGACAGGCATTAGTATGGTGTTATGATCTTTTTCTGATGAAAGTTCTGTGCTTTGAAATCGTGCGACCTTCTTCTGTTAGGAGGTTCCGTGTGTGTCAAATCTTACGATCCTTGGTGTCATTAGTGGCAACGTTTTCTTACTTCACTACGCACACAATCCTGTTTGGTCCACACTTAATTTGAACAACCAAAGTTCAATGAAGTCATATCAATTATTTATTATTACCACAACTGGCAGCTGACAAAATGTTCTCCACAAATATCTTCACTACCCTGGCTCTTGTCCTCAGACTGCTCTAATCTCCCCTGACTAGCTAGCTGGCACCATCTTACATCACTCAGACAGCTCTCATCTCCACTGACTAACTAGCTTGGACCATCTCACTACAATGATCACTCAGACAACTCTCATCTCCACTGACTAACAAGCTTGCACCATCTCACTACAATGATCACTCAGACAACTCTCATCTCCACTGACCAGCTAGCTTGGACCATCTCACTACAATGATCACTCAGACAACTCTCATCTCCACTGACTAACTAGCTTGCACCATCTCACTACAATGATCACTCAGACAACTCTCATCTCCACTGACTAACTAGCTTGCACCATCTCACTATAATGATCACTCAGACAACTCTCATCTCCACTGACTAACTAGCTTGCACGGTCTCACTACAATGATCACTCAGCACACTGACAACAACATAACTCCATGCCTAACCTTATTTAACCTCCCCCCCCCCCACCAATTTCGAATCGCCCTCACAAAACGTCTCAACAACTCTCGATCAACAACTTCCATAAGCAAACGTTCACGCTCCTTGATCCAGTTCATAACATATGGGAAAAATCTTGGTGTGAAAACATATAAGTTTAAAGAGGACATCCACGTTAGGGAGAGATGAGAGTGGCAGAAACTAGAAGAGAGGGAAGTAAAGTGAGAGGGTCTGGAAAGGGAAGGGCTTCTTGAAATCAAGCAGGAGTTAATTTAAAAGATGATCTAATTTGAAGATTGTAGTTGGCACAGCAGGGGGGCAGCCATGTTGGGTTTCTCATCAACAGTGAATCAGGGTATCTAGAGTCTCAACAACAGTAAACAAGGGTATCTCGTTTCAAAACAACAGTGAACAAGGGTATCTCGTTTCAAAACAACAGTGAACAAGGGTATCTCGTTTCAAAACAACAGTGAACAAGGGTATCTTGTTTCAAAACAACAGTGAACAAGGGTATCTAGTTTCTCAACAACAGTGAACAAGGGTATCTCGTTTCAAAACAACAGTGAGCAAGGGTATCTAGTTTCTCAACAACAGTGAACAAGGGTATCTAGTTTCTCAACAACAGTGAACAAGGGTATCTCGTTTCAAAACAACAGTGAGCAAGGGTATCTAATTTCTCAACAACAGTGAACAAGGGTATCTAGTTTCTCAACAACAGTGAACAAGGGTATCTCGTTTCAAAACAACAGTGAGCAAGGGTATCTAGTTTCTCAACAACAGTGAACAAGGGTATCTAGTTTCTCAACAATAGTGAACAAGAGTATCTCATTTCAAAACAACAGTGAGCAAGGGTATCTAATTTCTCAACAACAATGAACAAGGGTATCCAGTTTCAAAACAACAGTGAACAAGGGTATCTAGTTTCAAAACAACAGTGAACAAGGGTATCTAGTTTCAAAACAACAGTGAACAAGGGTATCTAGTTTCAAAACAACAGTGAACAAGGGTATCTAGTTTCTCAACAACAGTGAGTAAGGGTATCTAGTTTCTCATCAACAGTGAATAAGGGTATCTAGTTTCACAACAACAGTGAATAAGTTTATCTAGTTTCTCATCAACAGTGAACAAGGGTTACTAGTTTCTCAATAGTATCTTAATATTAATATGCATTTGCCATCTTAATATCATCTCTCAGCGCATTGAGGTAAAATCCTACCATATGGCTGCTCCAACTCTGCTACCAAAATTATAAACAGTTGTAGGTTTGAAGTCAGGGTCTCGTTGTGAAATCTGAAGAGTAAAATGAGAAAGTACTGAAGTTTTATAGTTTAAATGATACTTTTAAAATGGGACCTTGAGAATATACTGTACGCGTTACCTCCAAGGGTAACAGAAGGATTTCTTTTAAAAATTTTATAATAATTTTGAGTTATTAAATTTAAGGAATATCTTTAAAAAACCTGGGCATTGGAACAAAACAAATGACTAATTTCTTTACCTCGGTAAAACACTGCATTAGAACGGAGTAATTTGATGCCACGCACCCCACCATGTAGATATAAGACATGACTGCATCATATCTAAGAATAGTGCAAGATATCAAGTTTTAACTTAAAAAGTTCTGACTTGTACAAATGACAAAGAAATGTATTTAAAATTAATCAACTTTTTCTAAATGAAAACGTCATTTGTACCTGACATCATTTGTACCTGACATCATTTGTACCTGAACATCATTTGTACCTGAACATCATTTGCACCTGAACATCAAGCCAAAATCGTAGCACTTAAGAAGGGCTAAGAAATACAGATGGAAGACTGTGTAGACAACTACCAAATGTTCAAAAAAGTCATCTGGTTACATTAAAACAGTATGAGATCAGAAGAAATATGAAATATTTCTTGACACGTCTACTTACAGAGTCATGTCAAGACACAAAACAAAATTTCTGGACTACAGTTAAACCCACTTATCTTGACCTCAGTTAACACGCCAACCCTGTTAAGTTAACGCTATTGACGCAGAACCACCTAATTTTCTCCTCGGTTATGTAGATTATTTTACGTCGCCTAACCCTGATATCGCGAGCACAAAAGGTGGCCAAATTTGTCACTTAACCTCGGTTATCTCGATTCCCATGACCAATAGCCAGCTTTTGAATTCCACAAGAAGAAATAGCAAACAAAAAATAAACAAGTTGTGCATAATTAGAAATAAATATTTCTTTCTCAAAATACAGGACTTGTGTTTTTGAATGAACCTAGAATTAATTTTTAAAAATATGTTTTAATTGGACGTTTAAAAACCCGGTAAGGTCCATATTATAAACAATCATAATTTGCCGAGTGCAAAATGTTCTCATGGGAAGTCATTCATGGTCACTGGCATAATGGCTATGCCATGGTACTACTTCAGAGTTTCATTCATATGAGTTTGCCGTGTGCAAAAGCTATTAAACCATTGGTTCGGGGAAAGCTTTAATGAAATAGTCATGTGCCAAAGTTGAAAGTTCAAAATAAGTAGTCACTAAATAGTGTTTTAGTAAAAGGGGAAGCCTTGCCTTATATAAACTATATAGTCATTGCGCAAGACACGATTAGCAGAAGGAGGTCCCAAAATGTGGAAGCTTTGTCCATAGTAGAAAATACCAAACAAACTCTTATTATAAAAATTCGTAGTTCAAAAAATTCTAAGGTTAAAAAGTTGATTCTGATTTCATTTTTTTAAATTTTGAAATTGGCTCGAAATAATTGTAATTTTTTTTTTTATTTTAAATTTTTTTATGGAAGTACCTACATTTATTAACGCACATCATGTACATTAAGAAATTTCAAGCACATGTTAATATATTACCGCCATATTGGTTTTCGTTGATCTCAATCATCGGTTATCTTAACGCTTTTTGGCATAACGGGGTTCTACTGTATTTGCAAGACTGGCTTGAGCCCCACTCACTACTTTGCGGGGTGAACTTGCAAGGAATAAATTATATTGGGAAAGAATTAAGAATGAAGCTCAGGATAAACTTGAGCACACAATGTGGTGCATGAGAGGAAACATTTATTGCAGGCTGGATGTGAGATTCTAAGGGCTCCTGGAGGTAGTGGTTCACAATGATGGTTGTTGTCTTACTGAAGAGTCAATTAAATAGTTGGGCTCGCTGTAAACAGCTGGAGGGGGAAAAAATGGCAACAGCTTTTTTTTTATAGCCTACGCTTTTTTTTTTTTTTTTTTTCAAAAGCGTTTTGTGGCCATTCCAAGGCAGATGCCACATTCTTACCTTTTAAATCCCTGCGGTTCCGAGAAGGTTCAACTTAAAAAATAGTTGGGCTCGCTGTAAACAGCTGGAGGGGGAAAAAATGGCAACAGCTTTTTTTTTATAGCCTACGCTTTTTTTTTTTTTTTTTCAAAAGCGTTTTGTGGCCATTCCAAGGCAGATGCAACATTCTTACATTTTAAATCCCTGCGGTTCAGAGAAGGTTCAACTTAACATTCTTGGAGCAGACCTATCTTAAATATGCATGAAGTTGGTGATGTGGATTCTCGCTTTAAGTTAGTCATCTAAGTTTGTTTTTTGTTTTATTTTAATCAGCTGGTAAGCAAATGCTTCAAAACAAGCTTAAAACCCAGAATGAGTTATGCAAGTGACTCTGAGATCTCTCAAATGGACTGGAACAGATCAAAACTTTGGTTAGCAAAACCATGGATGCCCAACAAGAAAACTATGCTTGGAGGAGACAATAAGATAACAAAATGAAATAGATAATAAATAGATAACAAACAGATAATAAATAAATAACTAGATTATAAAACAGACACAACTTAACTCAACTTGAAATATTCAATAATGATAAGGAAAAAATTGATAGGTCACTGTATCATCAAAATCACAAGATCTGTTGCTTTTTTTTGAAAAAATCAAATTTTTAAGGAAAAAGTGAGAAACAACAAATGCCAAACATAAGACAAAGATACAGTCAAGTAACACTTCAGGAAAGGGTAGAATAATGTAGGTTTAATCTTGGAATGAAAATACAGGACAGTCAAAAGACTGAACGTTACGGTCGGCTGGATGCCTTCTTCTGCAGACTAAACACTACAGGACCTGATCTCTTCCCTAACCACTGGGCATGCAACTTAAAATCTAATTTAAATGCAAGCTTACTCCATAGGCTTCCAGTGATATGTAGTGTGTCGCAGTCTGTTCAGCACCTTCTGCCTGAGTGTTTCAGTAGCTGCCAGTAAATCTGGCCCTGTTAAACCCTGCAGTCTGTTACCCTCTTAAAAGAGAAAAATAATTTGTGTCATGTTTTGCTTAGAAACCGTACAATGTTTCAAAGCCAATATTAGATCCTCAAATATTTTACAGAGTAAACTAAACGTTTTTTTGGTTTTTTTAAAAATCCTTTGGAAATTACATGCATGATTACATTACTTATTTTTGTATGTAAAAACAAAATGTATTTCAAGACCAGTGAATATTAGACGTCCTACAGAGAAGTTGAGTCAAAGATAAAACAAATTTTTACACAGCCGGCATGATCATTTCTTTAATCACCTAATTATGTGGCAAACAACTTAACGATATTTTTAAAATTCAGGAAGTGTTTGCCAAGTATCTAAGATGTATTTAAATCAGAGAATGCTTGTCAAAAAAGAGGAAAAAACAAACCTTTACTATGAATGTCATCTTCTACCGCCCTTGCCCTCTCAGTCAACTCTAAAGAGCTCAGTGGAACCTGTCTTTGCTGCAGGTATCTCAATAACTTTTCTTTCTCCGTTAACAATGTTTTGATTGGATATCCTGCAGGGTAAGATTGAAAGAGATAATTTATTACAACATTAAAAGATCACAACTTTTTGTTGTTGTATGAGTTGGGATTTCTTTTGTGTTTGAGTTGGGACTTTTTGCTGTCTGATTTGGAGATTAAATCATGGGACAACCCCCACTAGACCCTCATTATGGATGCCAAGGAATCAAAATTGAGCTCCTTAATTAAATAACTATGCCTCTTGATCCAAATATTAACTATTTGAAAAAGTTATATAAGTTAGCTGAAGCCCAATTTGACAGCATGACGGGAGGACAGCGTTCAGGTTGAAGCAATAAGAAATATACTGTAACACACAGAGATGGGGAAACCCTGTTTTGTCTTTCTATACGTTTTTCCCTACTCTATGTGTTATTATTTTTTATACCTTTGACAGCCGATTTATAACAGATGCCCAATCTTCCACTTTACCATTTGCCCAGCCTTCCCCTTGGGTGGTAGAGATGTGTTTTATTCATGGATTTCCTTAATCCTAAGAATAGCTGTGCCCATTTAACTCCTAGTTACAAATCAGGCTCACTGCAGGGCTAGCAAAATATATTCAGGCAAAAGAGTCACATGAAATTCTGAGTGCAATGTTTCCCACAATCTTTGAACGACCCAAGGACAAATTGAAATTAGGCCGCCATCAAGCTGCTTGAGAATCAACATAAATGATATTTTGCAATAAGCATCTGAATGGTGTTTCAGATAACCCTCCCAGTTAACAATGAACATTTTATAATATGAATCTTAAAGAATGGTGAGCTCATTCCCTATTTAGTCATAAGAGTGTTGGACTGCGATAAAGCTGCCATGTCTTTTTCCTGTTTGATTTTTTACATTTTACTTCAAATCGCTTCCTTCCCATTTTTCTTTACTTTGTTTCTGTATGGTTTTTGCGGCCACTCATATTTGTCTCTCTTTTTTTTAGGTTAGGATATATGTTCATCTATATTATGTAAATTTAATTGATACTTATATAAATGTTTTGTTGTTAAACTGATGATGAAGGCATGTGCCGAAACGTTTATTTGTGTATTATATAAAATTATTATTAAAGCTTAACATAAATTATTATATTGACACAAGTTGTTCGTGTCTAAGTAAACTATTTAGCCATACTGTTCTAAGTAATTTTCAGCCGGGGGTGGGGAGGGGAGGGCTGCGTAAAGGATTAAAAACACATTGTTTTAAAACATCCACATCTAACTGATGAAATCTTTAACAGATGGCTAACATAACTGATACTGTTACTTGCTTTCCAATAAAATTTTGATGGCTTTGACTAGTCGTGTTGGTAATTGTGATCTCCTTCGTTGTATGATACCAGGATGGCTTTTGTAACTTATGTGGCCACTTTTGCCAACATGGTCTTCATCCAACTTCGAAGCTACCACTGCATCTACTTTTGAATCTGTTGTGATATGACCACCTGAAACTTCTGTTGATTTTGTCTGTGGATGATAGTGGTTTGGCCTTTATTGTTTTATTTTTTGAGAAAACATCCTTTCTAAAAATCATAATATGATTAGTATATCAAATCAAAATTATTAGTAATACTAGCCAATATACCCGGCGTTGCCCTGGACTGCCTCCCGACCCCATTTGTATCCCTATCCCGTCGGTATCATGAACCCATTGGGATCCTGACCCCATTGGGATCCCATCTCCAAATGGGATCCCAACCCCTGTGGGATTCCGAACTGTTGGGATACAATTTCCAAGTAGGATACAATTTTCCAATGGGATCCTATTCCTATTGGAATCCCGATCCAATTGGGATCTCTTTTTCAAATAAGATCCAACATCCTGATGGCATCCTATTTTCATTAGGATCCCGATCTAGTTGAAATCCCGATGGGATCCCATTTTCAAGTAGGATACCTTTTTCCCTTTTTCAGGTGGAATCCCGATCCCATTAGGATCCCACTTCCTGTTGGAATCTTCTCTAATGAGATCCTGTTTGCTGAAAGGATCTCTATTTGATCCCTTCACTTCATGGGATCGCGTTTATTCATTCACCTTTAGGATCCTCTACCTCGTTGGGATCATGTTCCCATGGGGATTTTGTTCCCGGTGGGATTATGAAGGGCCTGTTTAAAGAAAATACCCATGAAAATATAGAACTAAGCCAACATGTTAATCAGCTTTTAGATTCCATTATATATCCCCGTAGAAAAATATAGAACTAAGCTAACATTTTAATCAGCTTTTAGATTCCATTATGTATGCCCGTAGAAAAATGTAGAACTTTCTAGAACATTATAGATTGAAGTAATATTTTCCTCAAAACATGTAAAAAATAAATGTCTTTTCTAAGTAATTATTCTTCGAATAAGAAAAATTACACGACTAAATGCACTACTATAACTATAGTAAATTTACGTTGAAAGATGGTTCCCAGTGGCTGCCCATTCCACAATTGTAACGAATCAGTTCAGCCCCATAACAATCACTCAAATAAATTATGGATTTAAAATTAAAAATTTGTTCCGTTAAAATCTATTTAATAATGCCATAGATATAGCTTTTTAAAGTTTTCGAACTTCTGGAAATTTCTAGATTGGATATTGTTAGTTTTAAATCCACCGATATTTCAATACGGACAATGAAGTGTATTGCTACAAAGCTACGCCTATCTCCATCAATTCACATAGAACCTATAATGTTGTCTAAGTCTATTGATATTTATATAGCTCAAAGAAGGAAAAATGAAATGGGGCCCCTGGCCCCAGAGGAATGGATATTATGAGAACAGTACCCTTCAGTATTGAATATGGATAATCAAGTGTATGTGTACTACGTTTGGTCAAGATCCATCAATTCATGTGGGAGTATTTGTTGTTAATTTTATTAATATAGCTCATATTAGACAAAAAAACAAATCGGGGCCCCCAGTCTCAAACGGAATGTTATAAAAAGTTCAAACCCCCCAGTATTTGATTCTGGGTAATGATGGATATATGTGCCATATTTGGTCAAGATCCATCAATCCATTGTGGAACTAACAAACACACCAACAAATTCTCACTTATGTATATAATTCATAATATAATATGATTAACCACAGTTTATAAAACTTAATAATGACTTATCAGCTAAATATCATCTTTTTGTCCTAAACAAAAACCATCAAACAAATTGTACAAAAGAACCAAAAATATTTTTAAAACTTTTTTAAAAAGACTTCCTATCAAACCGGAGTTTAAATTACTAACAAGTAGAAAATAAATTTAAATCTTCTTAAAATGCATTCATTACTGAAATAGATTTCAGTTTTCCAAAATGTGGTGAGGTAGGGAGGAACATTAAAACACACAAAAGAATTTTCATAAAGTTTACCCACTGCTGTTGTTGTTTTTTTGTATTGTAAGTCTTATTCTACCATGTTCAATCTTTGGCCATGAAAAGGCAGAAAAATTAAAATTCAATCTTCCTAATAGCATCCCACTGTTTGGTTCACACAAACAAACTAATTTTTTCACAAATCACATCACTGGCGCGGAAGAAAAATATGCTGTGACTAGGCAAAATATTACTGTTGCTATTTACACCAAGTTGAAAACGCAAAACAAATTTTGTTTCATTACCAAACATTGTGTCTATGTTTTTATAACCTTTAACCTTTGAAAATAATGAGCAACCATGGATTTCACTCACACACACAATTTTAGCTGACAATTGGCTTTCTTTGAAATATAAATATGCTATTAATGGACTGAAACTGAAAGAATTTTAAGATAATTGTTTCAGAATTTGAGTATAAATCTACTAGGTATAGGCACATTTTGCACAGGCCTCCAGAATCAAAACCTGCAAACCCCGCCCCCCCCCCCTTTTTTTCCCCACTCAGTGTTGGTAATTAATGGAGTGACACTTGCAGCTTCTGATGGCCTTTTTCTAACCAATGCTTTAATTCTTGTTCAGTTGCTCAAATGAAATACACATCTCTGAGTGCAGAAATAAAAAGTGATAAAAAAATAAAAAGACATCATTTTTAGCCATGCCAGTCTTTTTCCAGCCATCAACATAGACGAGTTCCTTTATCATTTCTTTTGAACTTTGTAAGTTGAATTTTAATAAAAATGAATGGAAAATTTCATTTTAATATTTTTCATATAAACCCAATCGATTGTCATATTTAGATTATTATGATGCAGATTCTTCAGTGAAGAATAGGAAAGTTATCACACACATCGTCTAATAACTGGTCTATTCTCTCTAGTCCAGTTTTGGGATTCTCTTAAGTGATGTCACTGTGCTTATGGGGACAAAACTCTTGCCAAATCCCATTCCGCTAACCTAAAATAAAGCTAAAATTTTAATCCGTATATTAACAACAAAGCAAGTATAAATTACTTTTTTTTTAAATCCCCAAAATCCTACAGCTCTCACATAAGCTCCCTTTTACCAACCCTTCTCCTGCCATTCACAAAACGAAGCAGAAGTGATGTTGACACAAATCAGATGCGACCTTTCATGTGAGCACGAGATAGATGATCAACTGATAATTGAGTGGTAGAGTGTCTCTCAACAAAAACAAATAACAAATTGACCAACTAGATAGAAATGCAAGCAGAAAGAAGTTATTTAAAACACACTTCCTCTCCATGCATCTTTTGTAATTCACAGCACCATTCCGGTATACAAAGAGAGCTCAGAAATTAAAACTCTCATTGAAAGGGATTATTTATTTTATAAAAACACTTATTATAAACAGGGTTCCCACTTTTTTTTTTTTTTGAAATAAAAATCCTTACTTTCTGAACTTTCTCCAACTAAAAAGCAAACAATTTCTGACTATGGCAACACAACAGATTAGTTGATAATATAAAAACAAGCATGAAATTGTAAGAGCAAAAACAATAATATAAAAAACAACACTGATAGACAAAATTAAGCAATAAAGGTGTATACACGTAAATATTTATTCAATTTCCTAGCAATTGCAATTTTTTTTAATTTACTTTTGAAATGTTGTTTACTTTTTAAGTGCAAGGAAAACTTTTGCAATTTGTTCTCCTTTGTTCTCTTCTTTTAGAACATCCATATAGCTACCAAAAGCGGAAAGCATCTTTTCATATATTGAGTAAATGATTTCTTCTTGCGATCAAAATGGTTAGTTCGAGTGAACACACTTTAGTGTCTATAAAATCTCTCCAATCAGGGTTTAGTTATATTTTGGACACACAAGTCGGTAGCGTGACTGAGAAGTTGCAGAAGTGGACGCCTAAGGTAGGTGATAAGGCTGAACTAGATATATGAAGTCTCATCAGATTATTGATGTTTCTTAAACATTTTCACATCGAAACTGCACCTGAGTCTGAGAACTCTCCAGCAAATATATTTGATATCAATTTTTCCAGGAAAGTGTAGTAATGATGGCTTGTTCAATCATGGTTGCTGTCCTAACCGTCAGTCTTTATAGGAACTGTTGGGCATTATTTTATTTACCTTAAACCCTGAATAGTGAAACAAAACAGAATTAATATATTTTCATATTAGGTTTATAGTAAGGGATACATCATAAAGACCAGTGTTTCCCAACCTTTTTTGTGCCATGCCCTACATTAGTCTTTCTAAAATTATTATGCCCCCCCATTTATCATTTACATAATTTTTAAAAAATATGGTAGTTCACTGAAGAAACTTATATGATAGGTTTTAGGAAGAAATCACTAGGAGATTGGTGAGGAAAAATAGTAAGTAAAATTTCAAAACATATAATAGAGCACTGAAATTCAAGTAAAAATAATTTAATGAAATAATTTTCTATAATATTTTAATTATTATTAATTATTTATTATTTAAATTTAGTGAGATGTTTGTGCTTGATGCTTGCTGCAAAGAGATTTTATGTTAGGGTTCCAATTTAGCTAGCTTCAGCCTCAAATCTCCCTGTTGTGTTATATCCAGCCGATTTCCTTTTTTATTGTTGCAACAAATCATTTATGGCACTAAATCCACATTCAGCTAAATATGAAGATGGAAACGGTAACAATAGTTTTCTTGTAAATTTGGCTGAATTTGGATATTTGATTTCTGTTTCCTCAAAAAGCCATACCAGAACAACATTTATTCAGCAAAATACCCTTTATTGCTAATTCAAATTAGGCATAGTATTTTTAAATTACTCCTACAGGAAAACTTAAAAATAGCTTAACAGAGTAGGCTAAAGCTAAGCTTAGACTCTTTAGTCATTTTAGACAGCAATTGAACATTTAGTTTTCTAATCATAATTTTTAAAACACTATTAAAAACAAGAAAAATACATTCAAATAATTATTTACTGTATTTTACACCTTTCTTACCCAAACATCTTTTGATCGGTGAAGTGAACAGAAAAAAAATATCCGATCTGGCAAAGCAGTGCAGAACAAAGTTAAATTTCCAAAGTTACATCGCAAAAGCATTTTGATAACAGAAGGGCTAAAAATAGACTACATCTGTGATTAACATCCATTTTCATGTAATCCAAATTTTTTCTAATTAAAAAAATTCCAGATGAGCTGGACAATATCCTTAGAAGAATGCCCATTTTTTCTGGTTTTCACAAATAGGAATATTTTTTACCAAATTCCAAACTATTTCCTGTTTTGGGGAATGCGTGGGAACCTTATATCAATCAATTATCGCCCGACAAAACAACTGCACTAAAAAAAAAGATATTTGATCAACCCCCCACGTAGAACTTCTAGTTCTAGTATTTATTTGTAATATTTGTAGCCTCTCTCATTACTATAATGCATGGGTGACATTTTAAGGGGGTGATTAGTTCATTAGACTAGTAGTCAGTAGTCATTGGGCTTCAGTTTCAGTTATTATTTTATTATATTTATATTATTGAATTGGTCAAAATAGAGATTCAATTATTAAATGTGTGGGCTATGTTTCAACAAGTGGCCTTAGTGGCAATCAGTTTCAGTGACTCTGCCCTGACACTGCCACAAGCCGTGGCGAAGAGAACGTAAGCGGTAAGCTGACCCAATGCCAATATTATTTTTAGGCCTACTCATAATGTCTGCTACTACTACTGAGACTACTGACACTAGTACTACTGAAAATCCCCCCCCCCCCCCCCAATGGCGAGTCTTACCTCATAATTAACTTTAATTAAAGTTTAATGCATCAGTTAAACATCAATTTAAAAATACCTACTTTTAAACTGTTTAATCCCCTTACGATATTAAGTTGATAATTGATAATAAATTTAGGAAAGATTAGATGTTTCTGGTATAGTGCTTGAATTGGATGTCGAAGTCTCATGGAGGCTGCCATGTTTGTTTGTTGGGTTGTTTTTTTTAATGCAAGCACTACGTACATCGCGGCGGTGTAGCCCGCAAAAACCAATGACTTTGGCCTGCGTACACCGCAGTGGTTATACACAGCAAGACTATGGTCGTTGAGCTTTTTCCAATTTTTTATTTTTAGCTCTTTGGCCTGCCCGGTACTTAAAAAATTAAAGTTATACTCTTCTTAATTACGTTTTTTTAAATTCATTTAATACCTACAAGATTAAACAAAATTAGCTTTGCGGACGACATAGACGGAATGGCTGGGAGCGAAGAAGAGCTAGCCAACCTGGTAAAGCGTCTCGATAAGACCTCGTCGTCCTACGGCATGCTACTCAGTGCCGAAAAGATAAAAATGATGACAAATAACACCACAGGCATCACCAGTGAAATTAAAGTCAGGGAGGAAAAACTATAGACTGTAGGCCACTTCAAATACATAGGAGCAATAGTCTCAGAAGAAGGCTCCAAGCCCGAACTGATGTCCAGGATTGCGCAGACTACAACAGCTTTAAAGAGGCTCAAGAAAATATGGAATGACAAAAATATAGCCCCCAGCACCAAAATCAGACTGATGCGCTCATTAGTCCTCTCCATTTTCCTGTATGCCTGGGAATCCTGGACATTAACAGCCGATCTTGAAAGGAAAATAAAGGCGATGGAGATGAGATGCTTCAGAAGCATTTTTGGCATCTGCTATAGGGACCATATATCCAATGATACAGTGAAAGAAAAGGTTCGCCAGGCAATTGGGGAGTACGATGACCTACTGGTGACTGTGAAAAAACGCAAACTACAATGGTACGGCCACATAACAAGAAAACAAGGGCTTGCCAAGAAATATTGCAGAGCACCACAAGAGGAGGGAGAAGAAGAGGAAGACAAAGAAAAAGATGGGAGGGTAACATCAAAGAGTGGAAAGGACTAACACTGGGCGATGATGTGCGTAGTGCAGAAGACAGAGACGAATGGAGGAGGATAGTTCACAAGTCATCTGTGGCGCCCCAACGATCCAATGACTAAGGGACATGATAATGATGATGATGATGATTTTTATTTTGCTCAAGGCTAGAATCCTACAGGAACGCACGTGTATGACGTTCATGTAAGTATAATGTTTTTTTTTATACGAACTATAAATATTTTTTTTATTATTTCGGGAGCTATGAAGGAGATAATATGCAAGTTCCTTTACATTTGTGGCAAAAGCTCTCGAGATAGGAAATAAAATTTGTTTCAAAAATAAAAGTGGGTGAGAGTAATGTTAAAGCACGATTTTTTAACAAGTTAACCACTTAAATAGTTATTTTTCAAAAATCCATTGCAATACAAATATAGTTTCAATTATTGGCAATTATATCCTAAAATTGTGAATCTGAGAGCAAAATAAAAAAATGCAGCAAATTTGAGTTGAAACCTTTTTTAAGGACGCCTGAAGTCATGGAGGCCCTTTTTTGTTCCCTTCCCTCTAATGCCACATGTGGTTGTTTTGGTGTGGGGGCATTATAACATTTTGTAATCAGATAGGACATGGTGTCCACCCCTTCCCTCTAATGCCACATGTGGTTGTTTTGGTGTGGGGGCATTATAACATTATGTAATCAGATAGGACATGGTGTCCACCCCTTCCCTCTAATGCCACATGTGGTTGTTTTGGTGTGGGGGCATTATAACATTATGTAATCAGATAGGACATGGTGTCCACCCCTTCCCTCTAATGCCACATGTGGTTGTTTTGGTGTGGGGGCATTATAACATTTTGTAATCAGATAGGACATGGTGTCCACCCCTTCCCTCTAATGTCACATGTGGTTGTTTTGGTGTGGGGGCATTATAACATTATGTAATCAGATAGGACATGGTGTCCACCCCTTCCCTCTAATGCCACATGTGGTTGTTTTGGTGTGGGGGCATTATAACATTTTGTAATCAGATAGGACATGGTGTCCACCCCTTCCCTCTAATGCCACATGTGGTTGTTTTGGTGTGGGGGCATTATAACATTTTGTAATCAGATAGGACATGGTGTCCACCCCTTCCCTCTAATGCCACATGTGGTTGTTTTGGTGTGGGGGCATTATAACATTATGTAATCAGATAAGCCATGGTGTCCACCCCTTCCCTCTAATGTCACATGTGGTTGTTTTGGTTTGGGGGCATTATAACATTTTGTAATCAGATAGGACATGGTGTCCAAAAGATGCTTGGGGAGCACTGCCGTGATTGTGTTAAAATTTGTGTCATGGGTTCTGACACCTCTTTTATTCTCAAATGTATCTGTTTATTAAGATCATCATGCTGGCTGAACCTGGGAATAGCACATCACTGCAAACATCAGCACTTTGCTTTGGTCCAAAGATTTTGTGCTAATCATTAAAACTTTTTGGGAGCCCGCCACATCTTGTTTAAGTTTAAACACTTGATAATCGCACATGAGGTACATTTTTACCTCAAAATAAAAATGCTTTTGTAAAAAATGAACATAATAATTTAATGATAATTTAAATACAGATGAGAAATGGAAAGAAGGTTACAGTCAAGTAAAACTTCATCCACATCTGTAAAATGATCTCTATTCCACATATGCGGTATCATCTAGCCGCAACCTAGTGTTAACCAAAGACCACACAAGGTTATATCTAACAGCCATCTCAAGACGAGGTAAATGGTAATTTTTTGCCGCGGTGTACGTAGGCGTAGGTCCAAAGTTTTGCTAGATACACTGTCGCGGTGTACTCAGCCACTTCGTTTTTTTTTTAAATTCTGTTGCTAAGACAGATTTTTTTTTCTAAAAATTAAAAATCCCTAGAATTTGTAAACAAATATCTCCTCATCTCCTCAGATGATAAAATTCATACATTTACCCTCCCAGATAGATTATGTGGAAACTGTGTATTTCGGCCATCTCGCGGGGGAGTAAGTCCACCCCACACCCTGCATAAAAGAATGTGTACAATACTTCCTGAAGTTTTTTGATAAATTCAAAATGCATGGATCCATTTTGCACATACTTGAATAGGAGGGGGCATTTCAGACTTTTGAGTGGGAAGCGCCAAAATTAGCCATAATAACGATACGGTACCTACATATGAAACACCCCACTACGCCCTCGAGGGTATGCTGCTTTTTGCCCTACCTTAGTCTCGCCTCTCATCACCATCCTCCCGCAAAATAACCGATCAAACAATTAATGGAATCTTTAGAAAGAATTTAGTCCAAGTAGCCGGAAAGTTGAAGACGGCCGCTGCTCGTGCGGCTTACAACAGACTAATGACAGAGGTCCGGAAGGAGGTTGATAGGGCGAAAAAGGAAAAATGGGTTAGTACGTGTGGAAATCTTGACCTGAAAGACGGCAAAAAGGTCTGGCGATTGATGGACTCATTATCCTGCACGGGAAAGGTCCGGAATCTGCGTCCATTGCAAACGACGACAGGCACGGCTACCACAGATGCCAAAAGTGCCGATGCCCTAAACAAGCATTTTGCAAAGATCAATCGGAAGCAGAATGAGACCAGAGAGAGACAGAACCTTAACCGTCTCCGGCGAAATGGAGAAGAGGCCCAGAAGTGGGGGCCGCATGCTGAGGTCTTCACCGCGCCTTTCACCATGGTTGAATTGCAAACCGCCATTGACAAGTGCGACGCCGCCAAGGCACCAGGTCCGGACAAGATCTGTAATGAGATGATTAAAAACCTTGGCCCAATAGCTAGGACAGAGCTATTGAAAATCGTAAACAGATCATGGGTAACAGGAATCCTACCCAGAGCTTGGCTTAGCGCTACCATCGTCCCTATTCCCAAAGAAGGGAAGAAACTCGATAAGCCGATCGGCTACCGCCCGATCTCTCTAACATCGATGTTAGGGAATGTAGCTGAGAGAATGGTCAACCAGAGACTCTACTGGCACTTGGAGAGCACCAGGTGTCTCAGCCCAATACAGGCGGGCTTCCGCAAGGGAATTCAGCCTGTTGACCAAGTGCTCCGTCTTCTCCAGTCCATAACAGATGGGCTCCAGAAAAAATCACATACAGTGGCTGTATTTTTCGACCTCAAACAAGCCTATGACCGAGTTTGGAGGTCCGGTCTATTGTTGAAATTGCAGAAGTTGGGAGTAAACGGGAACATTTACAGGTGGATCTCCGGTTTCCTCACAAACCGGACGATTAACACAAAATTTGGCGGCGAAACCTCCAGGAAGAGGACTCTTGAGGAAGGGCTCCCGCAGGGGTCAGCCCTCAGTTGCACCCTCTTCCTTGCATACATCAATGACCTGCCACAAGAGCTAACGACTAGCTCTGCCATGTATGTGGACGATTTGGTAATCTGGAGCACCGGTAAGGATGTCCAACGCCTGTAAACGCTATTACAGCAGGACATCTCTGCTATCAACAGGTACATGCGGCGGTGGCACCAGGAAATTAACACCGAGAAGACGGTCTATTCACTATTCACAAATGGGCGGACCATTCTCAAACAGGAGATCGAGCTCAAGGTGGGCGATGTAGCGCTCAAGTGGGGCAAACAACCGGTTTACCTGGGAGTTAAGTTGGACCAAAAGGTGCAAATGCATAATTTTGTACAGGACCTCTGCTCCCAGGCAACCGCCAAGCTCAACCTGGTGGAAAAAACTGGCTTGCACAAGTTGGGGCGCGGGCGCAAGTACGCTTAGAGCTCTTTTCCTAAGCAGTGTAAGGTCGGTGATGGATTACAGAATGCCGGTCCAATCCTTTGCAAGCAAGACCGCATTGGAAAAACTGGGCCGAATCCAGAATCAGGCTCTGAGATTCATCTGTGGCGCATACAGGACTACTCCCACAGCTGCTGTAGATGTCTTGGCCAATGTAGAACCGTTACAAATTAGGAGGGAAAAGTCCATATTAAGTACCGTAGAGAGGTACCGATGGCTTGGCGAAAACGAACCAGCCTTCCAAATGCAGAATAACTGGGTGGGCGGCAGGAGACTAAAGAGGTCCTCTTTCATGCACCACGTCGTGGAGCTGGAAAGGACAGTCACCCTGCCCCCAAATAGA